GGGTTTGGATTGATAAAAATAAAAATATTAAAATAAAATAAAATCAAATAAAATAAGAGAAGTCCAGTTTTCGGTTCAGTTATCACCCAATCTAAATCTACCGTTAATTAATTTCGACGCCTTTTCTAAATCGCTAACGAATTACCAACCCTAGTTAACAACAAGCTTTGTTAACCGAATTTTTCCTTACCGATTATTTAATCGAAATAAGCTCTTCGACTAAACCTAACTAGTGGACAACCTAGAATAAACTCTTTAGATTTAATGCACTAGCAGCATTAATTACTAGGAAAATAGATTGATCTAAGCAATGGACGCACAAGCTCGGACCATTTAACTTATGTTCACGCTACCCTAAGGATGCACAACCCCTAGTTTACTACTAACGAAACAAGACAATAACAATTAAAGATTAAAGCCTCGAATCTAGCAATTAAACTATGAACATTCAACGTAGCTGGCCAAACTAAATCAAACGCCATAATTCATAAACACTAAACACAAATAACGCGAATCAACTCATCAACAAAATAAATACGACGTCTCGATTAATCAACGATAAATTCAAATCTTCAAATTCATAGACAAATTCAAGTTAGGGTTCAAACATCCCCTCAAACTGGATAAAAACCTAGCCTATCATACTAATAGAAATAAATAAATAAAAGAGAGAAGATGAAGATCTCCCTCGTATGCGGTGCGGCTTCCCTCCGCGTATATAGCCTCTTCCTCAGTCCAAGCGTGACGTCTTCCCGTGCGTGATTTCTGTTCTTTGTCTCGGCTCCTTTTTTCGCGTCTGCGTGTCAGGAAAATAAGTCCAAAAGTCCCTAATTGATCAAACTCCTCCAAATAGCTTCATGCTGCTGCGTGTGTTTTGCTGCCTTGGGAAAATAATTCCCTTCTAGCAATTCCAAATTTCCTAGATAAATCGTAATGAAGTTGGACTTTTCAACCAATTAAAGCTAATTGGTCAAAATTATTTGTCCATGCATTCATGTGAACCACAAGTCATGAGCTGCTGCAAATTGGGCCCAACTTTAAAGTTCTAACTGCGGGTCAAATTAACGGGTATCAGACGTCTCGATAATTGATTACGTGAACTTTTGACCAATACTTTGCGTCCATAAAATACTCCAATAATCTGAAAATAAACATACAAATATCATAGCACTTAATTCCATCCAAATAATAAATAGGTAAAAAAAATATAAACGTACGTATAAATTAAGCGAATAAAAATACACTATTAAATATATAAAACATGCACTTTTTTCAGCCTATCAAGGAGTAGCCCATTAGACTTATAAGATGAGTCTATTTTTCATGTATGAACGATGTAGGACAACTCACAAGTGATATTCTAACAAAAACTGTGACCATTTGTATATATAACGAGCTAGAAATCAAGTTCGAGCTTGGCTCGTTAAGGCTCGAGTGTATATTTAACGAGCTAGAAATCAAGTTCGAACCCGACTCATTAAGGCTTCGAGCTCGAACTATAACGAGCACATCTCGAGCTTTAATGACCGAATTATAAAATGTTAAATAAAAATTATCTTCTGGAGCATTATAGAGTCGACTCGAGCTCGACTTGTCAACCAAATGAGCTCGAGTTCGGCTCGTCAAGGCCTCGAACTCGAGCCGAACTTGAGTCTTAACTAGTTGAGGCAGACTCGTTTAATTTAACAACACTAGTTGAATACTAGTTCTACTATTCCTTTTAGTTTAGTTTGACAACTTCGTGATGGTGTACATTATCTACAGTGAAGTGTCAATCTCTCTTTTTCTTGTACTTTAGAACACTAGCCTTACTCGAATGTCTTTGTTTTGTTGTACACTAAAGCACATTTAAGAGCGTGTTTACAAGTATATCTGCTCAAAATGAGTATTTTTTATTAACTAGAAGTTAATTTGAAAAATGCGGTATGATTAGTTGTTAGTGAACTTTTGAGTTTATGTTAAAATAATATTTCAAATAAAATAATTAAAATTGATTTAATGTAAAAGTATGAGAGGTATAATGTTAAGTGATAATTAGTTTAAACTATGTGAGTGGATATATAGTGAATTAAAGTTGATGTGGTGTGTAAGAATGATTGTTGATATTAATCAATTGCTTGTACAATACTGTGTACTACACGGGTACCTTTTAATAAAATTATTTAGAATTAAATAATAATAACAACAAAATTTGTTTTAGTTCTTAAATATTTTTTTGAAAAAATATATTAATATTTATATTTAAAATGACACTGTCACTTACACGATTTACCATCTTATATTATATTTTCTTAATTTATATGAGATACCAACTTTGAGTTAAGTTTAAATACCTTTTTTTAATTAATATTAATAAGTAAATTAATTTTAATTATAAAGATAAATACAATTATTTACTTATTTTGTATGTATAATATAAATGTCAAATCAAAGCTCATCAAGACATGATTAATTAGATATATTATATATAAAAATAATTAATTAAAAACTTTATAAATTGAGGAAAAAGAAAGATTGGGAAAAAAATTATATACCTTATAAACCACGTCTAGGAAATGATATTATATTTATGGATTTATCAAGCTTAGTTACTTTTGGATTGAAAATAAATTAAAATTCATCCAAGCCACACAACAAAACTTAAAAATTTGTCACATAAGATTTCGAAACGTGCAAACCGCCACTTAGGCTTAGCACGTTTTGAAATTATATATATATATATATATATATGAGGGATATTGATAATATTTAGAATTGTGGAGTTAATGTTAATGTTGAGTCGGATTTTAAATATAAATTAAGTTTATTTATAAACAAACACACCTAAAATTTTAATTTGAACTTTTTCTGGTCGTGCAATTTTCATTTGATTCGGTTATAATAATATTTCATTGAGAATAATAATTATTATGAAAGGATAGGAAAATAGTATAATAAAAATAATTTATATTATAAGAGGATGAATCATATATTTTATAGATAAATGTACTGTTATATAATTGATTATTAAATTTAAAAAATTATTGAAAGATGTGAGGATAGAAAAGAGAATAAATTGAAATTAATGAATTGAACGACGGAAATGTATTTCCAAACGCTTTTCTCTCACTTACTAAGCTTATGTTTGGTAACTCAAGTGATAAGATAGCTTATAATTTTTAACACAATTTCTAGCTTATAGCTGATAATTTATGATTTATGAATGAAAATCTAGCTTATACGATAAAAATCTTTAATAAAATTAGCTGAAATGAAATTTTTAATTGACTTTTTGAAAAGCTACCTGATGAAGCATATGAGATAAACTCGAAAATTTTAATATCAAATTAAGCTTATTTGAATACAAAAAATTTATAAGTTAATCAAATAGACTATACACTAACGTATATGCTTAGCAACATCAACATAATTAAGTTTCATTAGACTCAGATGTAGATGCACTCTGTAAGCAGAGTTGTTCCTGAAAATTATTAGGCCCTCAGCGAATTATGTGAAAAGATGCCCTTTACATTGCTAAACAATGGTTCCCATGTGGATTCGGAAACCGGAAGGTCTCTGTACCAAAAAAAAAAAAAAAAAAAAA